TGGTCCCCTCCTGGGAGCCAGGGCTGTGGTTCCCCTCCTGTGGGCTGGAGCTGTGGTCCCCTCCTGTGGACTGAGATCACGGTCCTCTCCTATGAGCTGAAGCTGTAATACTCCTCCTGTGAGCTAGACCTGTGGTCCACTCCTGAGAACTAGAGCTGTAGTTCCCCTCCTGTGAGCTAGAGTCGTGGACCCCTCCTGTGAGCTGGACCTGTGGTCCACTCCTGAGAGCTAGAGCTGTAGTTCCCCTCCTGTGAGCTGGAGCCGTGGACCCCTCCTGTGAGCTGGAGCTGTGGTCCTCTCCTATGAGCTGGAGTCACAGTCCTCTCCTGTGAGCTAGAGCTGTAGTCCCCTCCTGTGAGCTGGAGCTATGGTCCCCTCCAGTGACCTGGAGCTGTGGTCTCCTCCTGTGAACTGGAGTCATGGTCCTCCCCTATGAGCTGGAGCTGTGGTTCCCCTCCTGTGTCCTCTCCTGTGAGCAGGAGTTGTGGTTCCCCTCCTGTAAGCTGGAGCTATGGTTCCCCACCTGTGATCTGGAACTATGGCCCCCTCCTGTGAGATGTAACTGTGGTACCCTCATAATAAATATGGACTCCCAGTCCCAGGAGGGATCATCAGAATGAACTGTGCTGGGTCAGGTGCTCACCCACTATTCAAGATTAATGCATCTTTCAACTCCTACCAGAGGTTTCCTTACACAGCAGATGGTAATTGACAAAGAAACTTACGTCTTTCTAATATGCAGGGAGGAATGGGCTGCAGAGCGCTTATCTCTGGGTGGGACGCCTCTGTCAGGCTTCTGGAGCTCAGGACTTGGGAATCATTGCGGAGGAAGAGGTAGAAATATTGTAAGAGGCAGAGGTGGTGGATGACCATGGGGGCGGGGCGGGGGGGCAGAGTTCTCCAGACAGCTGATAAGTTACTCATATGAACTCACAGCAATGGTGACAGCATGCACAAGTCCTATGCAAGCTCGAGTGGATGAGCCCATGCTGGAGAACAAAGACTCTACAGGCTTTGTTACCCAGAGATAGTACACTGAATTAATTGGGGGATGGGAGGAGGTGGGGAGGCATGGTTGGGAGAAGGGACATAAATGTCATCAAGGGGCTGGAGAGATGGCTCAGCAGTTAAGAACACTGGTTATTGTTGCAGAAGACCCGGGTTCGAACCCCAGCACCCACAGGACAGCTAATAACTGTCTGAAACTCCAGTTCTGTGGGATCCGACAGCCTCTTCTGACCTCTGCCACCAAAGCACAACACGGGTGCACTTACCTACATGCAGGAAATACACACATACACATAAAATAAAAATAAAATATTTTTTAAAAAATAAAAATAAAATGTCATCAAATTATACGCTTTGTCCTCCTAGAAGGAGGGCTCAAGAGTGGAATGTTGCTGAGTGTGGTAGTTAGGGCTGCAATCTTCCTTAAATGAAATAGAAACAAAGAAAACAATACAAAAAATCAATGAATCTAAGAGCTGGTTCTTTGAAAGGTTAAATAAGATAGACAGAACCTTAGCCCAGTTAGCCAAAAGAAAGAACAAATCCAAATCAACAAAATCAGAGACGAAAGGGGAAACATCACAACAAACACCAAAAAAATCCAAAACATGGTAAGGGAATACTTTAAAAATCTATATTCCAGCCCAGCGTGGTGGTGCATGCCTTTAATCTCAGCACTTGGGAAGCAGAGGCAGGCAGATCTCTCTGAGTTCAAGGCCAGCCTGGTCTACATAGTGAGTTCCAGGACAGCTGGGGCTACAGGGAGACCCTGCCTCAAAAAAAGACAAAAAAAAACCCCAAAATATTTTGAGATGAAAAGAAATGTTTGTCTGGAGATGTAGCTCTGTTGGTAAAGTGTTTGATCCCTAGCACTGTATAAATAGGGCATGATGGTGCATGTCAGAAGATCAACATCCTAAACAGACCCATAACAAATAAGGAAATTGAAACAGTAATACAAAACCTCCCAACTAAAAAAAGCCCCAGCCCAATTGGATTCACAACAGAATTCTACCAGACATGCAAAGAAAATCTACAACCAATACTGGTTAAATTATTCAAAAAGATAGAAACAGAGGGAAAACTCCCAAACTCCTTCTCTGAAGCCAGTATCACTCTAATACCAAAACCAGGTAAAGATACAAGAAAAGAAAGTTACAGACCCATATCCTTAATGAACATAGATGGAAAGATACTCAACAAAATACTTGCAAACCACATACAGACACACATGAAAAAGATCATCCACCACGATCAAGCCGGCTTTATTCCAGAGACTGTTCAACATATATGTCAATAAACATGATAAAACATATAAATGGACTTAAAAGACAAAAACCACATGGTCATCTCAATACATGCAGAAAAGGCTTTTGACAAAATCCAACATGCATTCATGTTAAAAGTCCTAGAAGGAGTGGGTCTGGAGGGAACATACCTCAACATAATTAAAGCTATATACAACAAACCCATACCCAACATCATCCTAAATGGAAAAAAACTGGAAGCATTCCCATTAAAATCAGGAACCAGACAGGGCTGTCACTATCTCCACTCCTTTCCAATATAGTGCTTGAAACTCTTGCAAGAGCCATAAGACAAGAGAAGGAAATTAAAGGAGTTCTAATTGGAAAAGAAGAGGTCAAATTATCCCTATTTGCAGATGACACATTATACGTAAGAGATCCCAAAAATTCCAGTAGAAAACTGTTAGAATTGATTAATGCTTTCAGTAAAGTGGCAGGATATAAAAATCAACTTACAAAAATCAGTAACCTTTCTATATACCAATAACAAGCAATCAGGAAAAGCACTAGAGGAAACCCTCCCATTCCCAATAGCCTTAAAAAAAAATAATAATCTTTAGGAATAAACCTAACCAAAGACATTAAAAATTTCAAAATTCTAAAGAAAGAGAAAAAGGAAGAAATTAGGAGATGGAAAGCCCTACCATGCTCATAGATTGGTAGAATCAATATTATGAAAATGACCATCTTACCAAAAGCAATTTGTAGGTTCAATGCAATTCTAATAAAAATACCCATGGCATTCTTCACAGAGCTTGACAAAAATCATCCTAAAATTCATATGGAATCACAAAAGACCCCGGATAGCCAAAACAATCTTGGGTAAAAAGAACAATCCTAGAGGGAATCATCATACCAGATCTCAGATTATACTACAGAACTATAGTCATAAAAACAGCATGGTACTGGCACAAATATAGACACACAGATCAATGGAACACAACAGAAGACCCAAGCATGAGTTCATATAATTTCAGCCACCTGATATTTGACAAAGGTGATAAGAACACACAGTGGAGGAAAGATAGCATCTTCAACAAATGGTGATGGCAAAACTGGATCTCCACCTGCAGAAAAATGAAACTTGACCCTTATCTTTTACCCTGCACAAAAGGCAACCTCAAATGGATCAAAGACCTCAATATAAAACCTGAAACTTGGAAACTGCTAGAAAAAAACATAGGAAGCACCCTCCAAGATATATGTGTAGGAAAGGACTTTTTAAATCAGACACCAACTGCTCAGGCACTAAGGCCAACAATCAGAAAGTGGGACCCCATTAAATTACAAGTTTCTGCACAGTAAAAGAAGCAAGTAAGGAAGGGAAGAGGAAACCCACTGAGTGGGAGAAAATCATCACCACCTACATAACCAACAGAGGATTAATATCCAGAATATATAAAGAACTCAAAAAAGAAAGAAAGAAGAAAATAAATGACCCAATAAAAAGGACAATAGACCTAGAGAGTTCTCAAATGAAGAAATAAAAATGGCTAAGAAGCACCTTAAAAAGTGCTCAACATCCTTAGTAATTAGACAAATACAGACAAAAACCACTTTAAGATTCCATCTTACCCCAGTCAGATTGGCAAAGGTCAAAAGAACAAAAGACTCCAAATGCTGGAGAGGATGCAGAGAAAGAGAACACTCATTCACTGCTGGTGGGAATGCTAATTTGTGTAACCCCTATTGAAAACAGTGTGAAGAAGCCTCAAAAAAACTAAAAATTAACCTACCATACCATCCAGTGATACCATTCCTTGGTGTATTCCCAAAGGACTCGCTGAGCCCTGGGTGGGAAAAGTTTAATATAGGAGTCCTGTCCAGGGACTGACACTCTGTAGACTCTTATTCTCTACACTTTAGCTAGCTGTGGCCTTCTGTTGCATGAGGAAGCTTCACTGATGAAACCTGAGAGATGCATTAGTATTCTCTCTACCCTTTGTTCCATTATGTTGCATGAGCCTTAGGTGTAGAGGTTGCATTGTAGATGTGTCACTTAGGGCTGGGCATCTCACAGACACTTACTTTGAAAGAAGATAGGTAGTGGTATAACTTATCTAAGAGGCACATTGGCTTGGCTTTCTGTTTCTGCAATATTAGCAATTGCTGATGCTTAATGCTACCCTACATCAGATCATTGGGAGTTTACAAAATGGTGATAGTCTATCATTGTATTTTATTTTATTAATTGAAATATTCTCATGAAATTTCTTTTTGGCTTCCTGGTGGTACTGCTCTCCTGAACACATGAGACATAAGGAGAAATTAAGTGGTGAGGCCCACGATGAATAGTTATTGTCATTATTTGAAGATAACACTCATTTATCTTTCTAGATCATTCCTTTAAATTTGGGAACTGCTTTGAAAGAATTTTCTTTCATAGCTTAAAGCCTGTGGCTTTCCAACAATGAAATTACTAGTTTTTCTTCTTTGTACACAATGTACACATTACCATATATATACACACAAATTTAGAATAGTTCTTCAACATTATATCTTGCTGAATTCATACATTTGAAAAAAAATTTTTTAAAGCATTAGACTCATGCAACCCAAGACCTTTCTCCACTCTGAGAGGCTGACAGAGAAATTCCAGATCTCAATTAAATATACTTGAAACCATCATTAGGAAAGATGACTGCCATGCAATTATAACCATAATTTCTATGCTGTCACACTTACCATCACTTAAAAACCTGGTAAAAATGTTCAGCAAGCTACACATACTTTGCCAGATGGGAGAGCTGGAAGCCTTCCAAAGGTCGCCCTGGAAAGTTTGTACTTTCTGTACTAATGTCATTGAAACTCTAATGCCTACCAATAAGTCATTCATTAAGTGTGTTTGAACGATATGATTTCCAGTGAATTTTCTATAAAAAAGAAAAGACATGATTACAAAAGGAAACTCAAATACAAATATCACCACTTCTATCCCTCTCTAAAAGCAACACATTCCTTCACCCCAGGGTCAAAATCAATTTTGGACTGCAATAGACATGCATGACTCTATCTTCCATTTTTATAGACATTCCAGCTATGTGGACACTCACTGAAAACTTCTAATAGTCTTACCTCAACAAACTCCTCTTTCTCAGCCAAAGATTAAACTTACTTTCTGTTTTAGAGCAAAGATAAGAAATTAGGAGCTAGGCCTAGCGGCACACACCTTTAATCCCAGCACTTGGGAGGCAGAGGCAGGCGGATCTCTGTGAGTTCAAGGCCAGCCCCGTCTACATAGCAAGTTCCAGGCCAGCTGGGAACAGGGAGACAGTCTCAAAAACACCCAAAAAAAAAAAAAGGAAAACGAAGAAAGAAGATGCAACTTATAAACCTGAATACTACCTCAATCTTAATTTCCTTCTTCTACCTGGCTTCAACACGCCAAGTGCTCCTGGATTTTCTCCTACCTCATGTTCACTCTTCCTCAGACATCATAACTAGATTGTTCTCTTCTCCCTAATACGACTCTATCCCTTTGCCTCTTTCTCTGGTATGAAGACTGAATGAAAGCTCCAGGCACACTAAGCAGATTCTCTAACAGATATATTCCCAGATCTCTCTTATTTCTTTATGTCAAAGCTCCCCAGGATTCAATCTTTAGTTCTCATTTCTCCATTTAATTCTCTCCCTTGAAGCCAATCTATATAGCTCTTAAACTTCAAACTATATTTCAGGCCAGCCTAAGCCTAGGCTACAAAGTGAGTTTCAGGCCAGACTAGAGGATGAGTAAGACCCTGTCTCAAAAAACAAGAAAAAAAAATTTTAGCAGGTACTGAAACATACACTTGTACACCAATGTTTACAGCAGTATTATGTACAATAGACAAAAGGTAGAAAAAGTCAAAGCATCTATCAGCAAATAAATGGATTACTGAAATATGACATATACACACAATAGAACATTTGACCATTAAAAGGAGTAATATTCTAACAATACACTAATACAATAAACAAGCCACTACATAGATGGATCCTGAAAATATTCCAAGTGAAATAAGCCTGACATGAAAGTAGGAGGCTGGGCTGGTGGTATATGACCATGATCTCAGCACTCAGGAGGCTGAGGCAGAAGAATCATGAAGTCAAGACCAGTCTAGGCTACATAGTGAAACTCTGTCTCAAAAAATCAAAACAAACAAAAAACATTCAATAGACAAATATATATTATATGATTTCATTTATATGAAGTATCATTGACAGGCAAATTTAAAGAGACAGAAAGTTACAAGGGACTAGTAGACAATGTATCTCCTGGGGCTGGAGAGATGGCTCATGAGGCCGAGCATGGTGGCACACGCCTTTAAACCCAGCACTTGGGAGGCAGAGGCAGGGGGATCTCTGTGAGTTCAAGGCCAGCCAGGTGTCTACCTAGTGAGTTCCAGGCTGGCTGGGGCTACAGGGAGACCCTGTCTCAAAAAGACCAAAAAAAAAGAAGAACACTGGCTGTTCTTGCAGAAGACCCAGGTTCAAATCCCAGCACCCACATGGCAGCTAACAACTGTCCATAACTCCAGTTCCAAGGGATCTGACAGCCTCTTCTGTCCTCTGTGGGCATTGCACGACATGGGTGCACTTACCAACATGCAGGCAATACACACATACACATGAAAATAATAAAATATATAAAAGAAAAAAAGACAATGTATTCTTTTTTAAACACACTGAATTTAAGACACCTATAAGATGTCTAAGAACCAACTATGTGAGTCTGCTGAGGAGACATAACTGGGGATCCTAAATATACAGATAGTGGTCGACACCAAAGAAGTAGATGATATTAAACAAAAGGAATAAAAAAAAAAATAAGGATTAGATCTACATTTATGAGATGGGAAAAAAATTAAAAATCTAATTTAAAAAATAAGTTTTAAGTAAAATGGCCTAATGTTAACGGAGGATGGAAAGAGCATCATCTGAAAGCTTTTGAAAGCTTTGTACAGAGACAATGCACAGTTCCAAGTATGCACACATACTCATGCATAGCCATGCAGACACACAGCACTTGCCTGTTTTCTTCCAAGATTTCAATTAAACTCCTCTGCAGAAAATGAAACACTGAAATAAAAAGAGTAAAATGACATCCAGAACTTAAAACTGTAAGCATTCACTTCAGAACCAGAAAACATTTTAAACATTACCTAAAATGATATCACAGAGAAGCAGAAATTTTCAAGAAGGAATACAGTGTATTTCAGCTATCTGTAGTACTCTACCTAGTACCAAGAAATTCAAATGTGGTAGTTCCAAAATGACTCACAAAGTTGTCACCCCTCAGAACAACATAAAATAACAGGACTCACCATTTTTAAGCAGATTAACAATACATGCTCTACCTGTAGGGAAAAAATTAACACTGCTAAGGAGTTTTGCCAAAATGAACATTTAAAAACAGTGATGTAATGACAGATGTTAGTCAGAAAACAGTACTGGAAAAGTACTGGCTTACCCAGGCTAAAATTCTCCATGCAGGACGATATATTGTCAATCACTTTCCTATAAGAGCATAAGTCAGTGGTATTTAACTCTTCTCGAAGATGAAAAGTAAAACTGTCTAAAGCCACAGTTAGAAAAAATTCAGGTAGGCTATTCAGTGAGCTGGAAAAAGAAACAAATATTGAAAATCTGAAAGTTTTGTATTACCATGTTATGTGGGGAGGGAGATGAACCACACAAATGTAGAAACACTGAACTACACCTTCAAAACACAGGCAGAAAATTATAATTTCACACCACCATCAGAGAAATTCCCTGGTCTACCATTTCTCATCTGACTCCCTGGTTCCATTTCACTCTCTCCAATGCTCAGGCTGCTCTCAACAGAATGGCCAGGTGAACAACAGTAAAGCACCATGGAGTCTGATGTTACTTGCATCATACCCTGTGCATACCTTCTCATATGCTTTTTTGTTGTTCATTTTTTGAGACACGGTCTCCCTGTAGCCATAGCTGGCCTGGAACTCACTATGGAGACCAGGATAGCCTTGATCTCACAGATACTCACCTGTCTCTCTCTCTCCAAAGGACTGGCCATATGCTTTAAATCATCTTTAAATATTTCTAATATGGTGTTACACAAATAGTTGTTATACTATATTGTTTAAGGAACTATAAAGAAAACTCTGTACATATTCGGTATGTGAGCTAATGTTGGTTAATTGCAAAACCCATAGATTTAAGGAGCTGATCATCTACCTGTGATCCTCTAACAACCTCAACATACAAGTATAATAAACATAGTTAACAATGACCTACAAGGCCTCTCACAATCCACCTTTCTCCCCTTAGAATTAGCTTTCTGATCGCAACTCAATCCTTGAAGTCTTAGCTTTGGCTACAAGATTATCCTCTGTTCTGAGAATTTACTAAAATCTCTCCTCTTGTTATTTGCTCTATCCAGAACACTCTTTCTTCAAATACCAAAATATCATTCCATAAATCTTGCAGGCCAATCTCACATTCCACCTATCACATGTGAGCAAAGCCATCTGAAGTGACCAATCCTATTTTAAACCGACACCCCACTCTGACACTCCCTTCTCCACTCAGTTTTCTTCTGAGCTCTCATGCCATCTGTTATCCTGTATGTGATATAGATTTGTCTATTTCCCCCTTAGAAGACAGTCCCATTCTAAGCTATTTTATTCATTATAATCCCAATTCCTAGAGATGTGCTTGAAACACAGCAGACTGTCAACAAAAATATACTTTAAGAAAAAGTTAAACGTAAGTCAATGCTAGTCAAATTAAATAAAAATAAAGCATTTTTTATTTGAACAGTTCACTGCATTTCTAGAAGAAATAAATTAGAAAATTGGAATATTCTAAAAAAGAAGAGTTGGGGAGAGATAACTTACTCTTTTATGTAATTGAATCATAACCTATGAGATCGTTCAGACCTACCATGATTAATGCACCTCTCAACTCTCACCAAAGAAGCTTCCTTATGCATCAGATAGTAACTGACATAGAGATCCACACCTGACAAATGTACAGCAAATAAAAGGCTGCAGTGTGCTTATCCCTGAATAGAAAAACTGAATCAAACTTCTGTCTCCCAAGGCTCAGGGATCATTGGGGCGGGGGGGGGGGGGGAACACAGAAAGATTGTAAGAGCCAGAGGTAGTGGATGACCACGAATAAACAGAATTTTCCAGAGAGCTGGTCAGTTTCTCATATGAACTCACAGTGATGCTGAGAACAATGTGCACAAGTCCCATGCAAGCTCAAGCCTGATAGAATCTAAGCATGGATGTGAGGAGGTGGGTAAGAAAAGAAATTCCAACTCTACTGAGGAACTACAGGCAACAGATGGCTGTTGGGAGGGGGAGAGTCAATCTCATTTATGGGTAAGATCCTTGGTAGGCTGGTCAAGCTCCAGTGGACACAATTTTAACTTTATAGGCTTTATTTTTATATGCATATATATATATACATATTTTTTGCACACACCCCATATATATATATATGTATGGGAGTACATGAAATTGGATGGGGGATAGTTGGGGGTCAGATGTGGGGAGGGAATTTAAATTCAATCAAAATACATTGTATGAAATTTGCAAAAATTCAAAATAAATAAATAAAAATGTGATAGTGGTACAACAATAAATATATATAAGCCTAAAACCAATCAAACCCATGTTTATATAGAAATATATAACGTGATTGGGTGCATTCAAATATGTAGGGGAAGTGGGCTATGCAACAGTTTGAGGCTAAGTAGATCCTACATAAAAACAAAAACCAAGTTTGATCCCTATCTTACTTTATACTCAAAACTTGACTCCAGATGGATTTAAAATTTGGATAAGGGACTGAAGAGATGGCTCAGGAGTTAAAAGCACGTACTGTTCTTGCAGAGGATCTGAGTTTGGTTCCCAGCACCCATATCAGGCATCTCATAACCACCTGATATATGCCTCTGCCTCCTCAGGTACTCATATTCACATGCACATAACACACACACAGACACAAACACCACACATATTTAAAAATAAAATCTTTTTTTAAAAAACCGGAAAAGCAAATAATCTTGAATTAGAGAAAGTATATATAAGGCATGAAATGCAGAAATCTATATTTTGCAAAGCATTAAGGTTGGTGATTTTTTTTTAATTTTTATAAAGATATCATGAAGAAAATGAAAAAGGAAAATATTTAGCATATAATCTATATAGAGCAATGATTCTAACAAGACAATGAAAAGATACATAGTAATTAAAAATTACTCAAACTCTAACTCTGCACAGTACTAAATGTTCAACCATGAGCTGGGGGTGTGGTTCCACGAAAAAGCATCTGCCTAGCCTGCAGGAGGCCCTGGGTTCAATACTCAACACCAGGAGAAAAATTCAACAATGCTAATAATCTGGGCGATACAACCTATCACCCCTCCAAGGCTCAGGGATTTTTGCAGAAGATAATGTAAGAGCCAGAGGAAGGGGTGGAATGTCAAGTGAAGTGTCCTCCAACCACAACCACTACACCTCAAGCTATAGTCACACCTCCTTCCCATGCACCTCAAAAAGACAATGGGGAGTCAGTTACCCTGCCCACCCAATCAGTAAGATCTTAGCTGCATGTGGGGGAGGGGCTAAGGATATAGAAGCCTAGAATGCCATGAGGCACCTCTCTCCATTTTGTGCAGCTGTCAGGAAGTCACAGGATCTATATTTGAGTGTGGACTTTCTAGCAAAGCTGTAAATGAGGGGACACCACTCTTCTGTCAATAAACCCGCACTCTTCTATTAATAAACCCCCACCCTATGAACAGAGCTAATGGAAACCATTATTCCACCAAAGTTGACCCCATGTTGGCAAATCTTTTGGTCTTTGATTTCTTATTCCTATCCCCCCCCCTTAAAATTCATTGTATATTTTTTTTAATTATTTTATTCTTATTTTATGTGTATGAGTGTATTGCCTGCATGTATGTAAGTGCACCTGTGTCTTGCAATGCCTGCGGAGTCAGAAGATGGGCATCGGATTCCCCTGGAACTGGAATGGTTGTTAGCCACCATGTGGGTGCTGGGAATCAAACCTGGGTCCTCTGCAAGAGCACCTAGTGCTCTAACTGCTGAGCCATCTCTTCAACCCCCTTTGTGTGTATGTGTGTGTGTGTGTGTGTGTGTGTGTGTGTATCTTTTCAAATGTAACCTGCTTCAAGTTATTTCTAGAAAATGTGTTAAAAATTGCCTCTTTGGAATAATTTTTAAAAAAGAAAAAAAAACATTTCTGTGTAATAATAAAAAAAAAAAAACTATTACCATGAAGAAGTTAGCTTTCAGCAGCACGGCCACAAAATGAAGGTATTTGCTATGGAATAAGGTATATGCTGTGAAATAAATGTTTATAAGGCCCTCAGCTTTATAGACCAGGACTACTATTAACATTCTGTATATCAATCAAAATAGGCAATTTTAGCTTTCTTTGTCTTTTTTAAGTTAAACTGTAACTTTCCAAAGGTAAATCTGGAATTCCTAAGGCTTTTGGTAAATACACTAAAATTCATAAAAGAAAATTTAAAAAAAAAACACGTTTGTAGAGGTTCCATTGTAGATGTGCCACTTAGGATTGGGCATCTCACAGACACTTATTCTCTATGTGTGACCAGTTGTGGAACACTACAGTAGTCTCTGTCCATTGCAAAAAAAGCTTCTTTGATGAGTGGTGCCTGGCATACTTGTCTGTAAATATAAGGATCCATACTTAGCATATAGTAATAAATTACATTTGTCTAGGGGGAAAAGTATACAAAAATAATAATAATAAATAAAATATTTTTTCCATGGTTAAGAGCACTGTCTGCTCTTGCAGAGGACCTGGGTTTGATTCCCAGCACCCACATAGCAGCTATGAACCATCCTTAACTCCAGTTCCAGGGGAATCCGAAGCCCTCTTCTGACCTCCGCG